GACAACTTGGAAGAGTTTGTTCTCTCCTTCACATGTGAATTCCAGTAACCAAACTCATGTCTTCGGGCTTCCGCCATCTTGCCAACTTAAGATTCTGATTTGTTATGAGTTGGAATAAGGTTCAAAAGCTCTCCAAGAGTTAAAAAAAATGAATAAATCAGTGGTTAAATTGAATGAAAACAGACTAACAATAGGAATTGTCTTATCCATTAGGTGAGCACTAGCAGTGAGGGAATTTCTTTACAGACTAGACATTCTCTATGACCCTGATAAGCTGAGCCTTCTGAACACTGAAAAGGGTAAGAGAAGTGGATGTAAATGAAAGCTCTCCATATTGAGCAAGGGATACTAGTAAGACCTTACTGAGGAATAGCCGAGTTATAGTCTCTTTGTTCCCTTATCTTTCCAACTTACAACCCAAATCAGACCCTCGGAAACAATTGCTTTTGGTTACTGAGGTGCCTATTGTAGATTATTTTTCAAAACGGCTTGACTAGCAGGAGCCTGATATTATGGGAAGAGGCTGGGTTCACAGGAAATCCTTGGCATACACAGAACAGAAGAGAAGAATAAATGCTATAGGAATTCAGCTTGTTGACAGCTCTTCAAATGTAAATTATTTTATTCCATGCAGAATTTACTCGTGTGTAAAACGTTACAAAACATTAAAGACTCTTAGCTCTCTAGTGCACCTTTGGTAAGACCTGAAAGGAAGAAAGCATGTCCCAACCGGTATCACATGAATGTGTTGAAGGAAGATCAGAAGTGCCTTTGTTTGTTTTGACTAAATGGCGGCTGTATAGTGACCGTTCTAGTAGTTCCATCCAGTGCTGGGGAGGTCTGAGTTAACTGAACTTGGAAGAGTAACCATGGAGACTAGCATATGGTTTCTGATTCCATTAATCTTGGTGAGATTAGCAGTAAATCCCCAGGGAACTTTTGCAGTGATTCAGAAATAAATCATCTTTTCACATGTATATTATTCGGTGACAGCTCTTCTCTTTAAATGCACATCTTCCCAACAAAGGAATTGCACAGTTCTTCTAATTAGATGGTGAGAAATTCACTCCACAAATAAGAAATTTTACAAAATGCAGCAAATGACCAAAACATAAATGTATGTAAATACCATACACAAAAAAATGAAGATTTATTCAACAAAAATGTGCATTGCTCTCGCCTACATGCTAGAGGAAGGTTATTTACTCCCAGTTCAAAATGTACTTTTGTTGAGGCTAGGATGTGTGGCTCAATGGTAGAGTGTGTGCTTAGTATGTGCATTCCAACCTCAGAAATACCCCCAAGAAAAATTCCTTATGTAGGACCTCAGCTTGCAAATAGGAACTAAAAATAAAGTTTAAGGTTTTTTAATGAAAGTCTCTAATTATCATTTAAATTATAGGAAGAAAAACGGATGAGTTTAGTGGGATTTAAAAAGCAGACGTTGTTCTAATCACTCTTGCCTCAGCCAAAGCTGCCCCCTTCACACTGGTGATAAGGAGCCAGAGTAACCAAAGCCTGAGGCAAATACGGCATATTCACAGCCCTCTTAATAGGCATAAACTCACCCAGTTCCGAGGGCTTATCAAACTTTTGCTCTCTTTGGCACAAATGCCACAGATTACAATTTTCATTTTATTTTAAAAGCATCGATAGGCTTTTAACTCTTAAATCCCTAAATTTTTAAGCTAATTATCCTTTCTAATTACAACATAGTTATAGAAAATACTCATTTCACATTACTTTTTTGTGTTGTAGAGCATACATAAATTTTAATATTTATTACAAAACAACCAACAGGAAAGAGGAGAGTCCTGATAACCATAAGAAAACATGTTCTTGTTTTAGCATATTTCTATGCATTGTTACAAAATAAGAAATGTCCAAGTGTCTATAAATGGGTGATCTAAAGTCGAGCCCTGTGATTCTGCAGGATACTCTGTAGCAGACGGAGGGTACTCATGTGTGTTTCATTATAGAAACAACCATTCTGTTGGCTGCGTAAAGAAAAGCAATGGGTATTGAGCTCAGTACCTTCAAGACCTAGTGAAGGTCTCAGCCTCAGCTGAGTTTACACAGTTCACACTGTGGCACAGTGGTGCCCAAGGCACAAGAGTGATACCCAATTCACCCGTTTCACCCCGTGGGATAAGTTTGCTGGGGGCAGAGGACTGCTATAGCTCTTTAAGCAGGCATTGGTTCTCAACAAACTCAAGCCACGTCACTGACCATCCTGGTACTAACCCCTTCCCCTTCCTGACGACTGTGACACGCTCCTATGAGCTCTTATCACCCCTAACTATGATATCAGGGTTAGAACATACCACACTTAGGTGAAGACTCAAGCTGGAGCCTTTCCAAGCATCGGCTCATACTTGGTTTACAAGACATAAATACAGAGAGATAAATCCTTAAAAAAACCTAAAGAAATTGGACAGACTTTAGGTCCTCTGAAGGAAAATGTGAACTTTCTTGGCAAAAATACATTAGTGAAGTGACTCAGGTGATGCCATCTTGTCCAGACCTTCCCCTCACTTCACTTCCCGTCTGCTAAGGCACCTTGCAGGCCATAACACCCTCAACAGCCACATCTGCCTTAGCAACACATCTGGGTCTCCCCATGCTCCTGACCATGACCCAAATAAATAACCAAAATGTCTGTTGAATGTATAACCCAAACAAATGTTCCCAGGTTCCCCGACCTACACCTGACAATGATGTCATTGTGATTTTTATAAACACTGCAGCCCTGAGCTTCCATGCCAGGAGGTCTTTGTGACAGGAGCCTGCTCCTGGCCACCGGCTTAGATAAAAGAACTCTTATCTGACCCTATATGCACAGTTGCCCTTTAACTTTCTAACCTGGACAATAACATTAGCACCTGAGTTGTTACACACACTCAGATATGTGGGATTTCTCAACTTTAACTTATGATGAGCGTGTCAACTTTTATGTTTTCTGTACATAATAGGGTGAAGAAGAAAAAAAGCATAGAATGTAGAGCTTGTGTCTTTATTTACCCAGTATATGGGTGTCTTAGTCCCTGTTCTGTTGCTGTGAAGAGACACAATGACCAAGGCAACACTTATAAAAGAAAGCATGGAGAGAGAGAGAGAGAGAGAGAGAGAGAGAGAGAGAGAGAGAGAGAGAGAGAGAGAGAGAGAAATATGCTGGGCCTGGTGAGGGCTTTTGAAACCTTAAAGCCCACCTCCCAGTGACACACTTCCTCCAACAATGCCACACCCCCTCCAACAAGGCCACACTCCTGCTCCTTCTAATCCTCAAATAGTGCCACTCCCTGGTGACTAAGCATTCAAATATATGCCTGCACCTCTGAGGGCCATTTTTATTCAAACACAAAAGGCACATGCGAACGCCACTATGGGCACATACTTTTAACTTGTCAGGTTTAGAACGGTCATTTCCCCCAGATTTTTCTGATGAACTATACTATGGTTCCACGGCGTCCAGGTGGAGTCGAAATTGTATTAATCTCACTTGGAAACTTGGGTTCAGACCAGAAGAATTCCGACATGAAACCTTATCTGCCTCTGCCTTTCTTCCCAGGAGGGAGAAACACAGCTCACAGCTCACTGGAAGCTCCCTTGCTGCAGCTGACAGCTCTTCGTCTTTTCTTCTCTCCTCGAGTTGAGAACAACTCATCTCTGTTTTCTACTCAATAGCCCTGAAGGACTTGACGATTGTCAGCAAGACTCCTGAGCTCTCCTGACAATCCTCAAATCGATCCTTTTGGAGTTTAATCATGTGTTAGCTTTTCGGTATTTTAGTGGCCCTCCCCTGGCCACCTGCTGGCAATAGATATCCCCACAGATCCTATCCTGCTATTCTTACATAGTAGAAAGGAAGAAAATGAAAGACCATGCTTCCTCTCTCCAGGGTTCTGCTCTGGATGACAGCACACTGGAACTTTACTTCTCAAACTTTTAATGAGTAGCAGGAAATGAAGACATGTTAGGGGCCCAAGACTGCAACACATGCCGCTTGGGGAGACTTCCTAGCTCTCCTGTTTAACTAGCTGTGTGATCTAAGAAGTTATTTAACATCTCTGCACTCGTTGTTCTCCACTGTGAACTAACACAGCAGCTTCTCCTTAAGCAGCCTATGAACTCAATGAATAAGGTGTGTAGGCAAAGCACTTAGCTTTACCACACTGCAAATGACAGCTACCACAGTTGTTATCTAAGTTTCAAAACCAACTGTTGTGTGTACCATGATCTGTATACACTATGGGCCTCATCTGAATTCTAGAAGTCTATTCATAGCAAGTGAAAGTGTCAGCCCCACTCTACTGTTGTTTTATAATAACGTGACTTGTTTCTTTTAGCTGTAAGGTGTGAGTACAATAGTATTATGATTCTTGTTTTCAAATCATCATTTCCTCTGATTTCCAAAACCCCAGTTGCCTTTGCTCCTTGTGTGTGTGTGTGTGTGTGATCAAGGGAAGTGATGTTTTTTGTTTTCCCTTGTGTATGGATCTGTCAGCAGGGCAGCTGTCTACAGACAGAGGAACCAACCATCTCAATGTACCTGGAACTGAGATGGTTCTGGAGACACAGGACTTCTACTGCTAGAAGTAGGAAGATCTTTTGTCAGCTTAGCCTTACCACTATTACACAAGCCAATGTTGATCTGTGAGAAGAGGGTGTGGCAGTGCTGATCTCATCTGATACAAAATAGTCCTTGGTACAACACCTGTTGCCTTGACCGTCTTCCTCCTGTGTTGGGGTCAAACACAAAGCCTGAGACATACTATATAGTCTCATATCTTCTGCCACTGAGCTCCACACCCAGCTTTGATTTTTGATTCTATCAGTTCCTTGTAAGAATCCAATGCAACTGTACTGAAATAATTAATTCTAAATGTCAAGCATCCGGGCTTCATTTTTACCATGATCATGCTCTCTCTAAGGACTTCTTCCTCAATTTATGTTTTTCCATTTCCCCCTGATCATTCTTGTGCTTGTTATTTTTCTTTTAGGTCAACTCAGATCAAAACCTACTCTTGGGATAATGCCCAGGTTATCCTGGTTGGCAACAAATGTGACATGGAAGACGAACGGATCATCTCAACCGAGAGAGGCCAGCACTTAGGAGAACAGCTTGGTAAGACATAAAATTGAAAAGAAAGAAAGCTTGGTCATTGCCACACTGAAATGGGTCATAGGTGTGTGTGTGTGTGTGTGTGTGTGTGTGTGTGTGTGTGTGTGTGTGTAAAGTTTGTCAACAGACCTTGAAAGACAGCAAGCCCTGTGTTATGAGCACATTTCCTCTCATTTTCTGTAATTTCGGTTGAATTCAGGCACAATTAGAAATGAATGTGATAGCAAGAACTTAGAGCAGGAAAGTTACCTGACATGAGCAAATGAATTAATTTAAGGAACAATCCCAGGCCTGCAACCTAATGTACACATACGTAGAGAGGAGAGGAACAAGAGGGTCACGAAGCACCTTGACTCCAAAGGACACTCTCACTCTCCTCTGCATCTCACCCCTTTTCCTCTTCTGTAACGATGGCCTCAACTTGAAATTGATCCCAATAATGAATTGCAACCTAAAATTTGAAAAACCCAACCACGTAATGAATGATTGGAGCTTTGCTCTATTATTGGAAGCATGAACTGTCAAAGCACAGCCAATCCCCGTGGGTCAGTCTACCACGGGGAAATCTCAATAGCTGAGCAGAGTCCATTCCCCAAACTCTATTATTTCCTTGTGAGATCAATGAGCTCATTACACTGAAAGCTGTTACTGGATGATCACAGGAATCTGTCCATGAGACTTCCCTGCAACCAGCTATGAAAACGTCACTAGACTGATATTTAACCTTACTATAAATGCTCATTAGCCTTTATATTCTGTCATAGGACCTCGCCACATGCTACCAGTGTTTGAGAGTCTTAGAAACTTGGTGACTTTTCCTAGTACCTCAGGAAGATAAAAGTGGACATGAGCAGGTCCTCTATGTAGGAGAGAAGGGGAACGTGGGAGGACATTCCTATGTGGATTCCTTGGGCTTCTTTTGCTTGCCCTGTATTTGCCATCTAGCTAGACACCCACCTGGGAGAAGGAAGTGCTCCACAGAAGCAGGCTGTCTTTATAAAGTTAAAAACTGTTTGGCTCCAGAAAAAATAGAGTAACAACATCAAGAACAATTCAATGTCATTGTCAAAAGAGCCAGGTGATAGATAGCTTTATGTTTAACAATCTAGTAAACAGCTTGGCTGTTGAGAAGATCAAGTATGGAAGAGATGTTAGAATGACAGAAGTACTTCTGGAGATACTTTCGGTAGTGTGCACACTTGTGCACGTGCACACACACACACACACACACACACACACACACACACACACAGTACCCTCATGTACCCTCTCCATTCACTGCACAGATGTGGGAAAGCTTCTCAAATCATGAGACAGATGGATTTTATGCTCCTGTGCAAATTCTTCCAATAGTCTCTAATTGATTTTTTTCTTTTTTTTGGCTCTTTAGTCAATAAAACTCAGCAGTTGTCATAGCAACCAGCAAATGTACCTTCTTAGAGAGTCATTTATCTCCAATGTGGTTCATTCTCCTCTTGACTACACACCCTCTACAAAGGATCAGGAGAGACAATCCTAAAAACTAATAACTTTCAATCTAAATTACAAGCTCTTGAGAGGTTTTACTTAAAAACATTAACAATAAAATTCCATTTCTCAGAGATTAGGCATTGCTTTTTTAAAGGTTGTTACCACATATTGGCAGGTGGTTCAAAACAACTGCTTTATTTATCTGTTTATGGTTAGCTTTCCAATATTGACATTTACTTCTGTATATCCTTTGTTCATCCAAATGAGGAGACTGGACAAAAAACGGTACTATATTGAGGTCTTTGTAGTTCTTGGGAGAGAGGGGTGCTCTTATAAATATGATTTTTTTTAAGTCACCAAACCTGTTTATTAAGTGTTCACAATATTCTGGGTACTTGGCATGCAATGTGGTAAGATGACCTTACCTCCTAAAAACAACCATTATAGATCCTGTGAGTGACAACATAGACAGTGAGCATTTCTCTGCCATGCCTCTCCTGGATGTTTTCTTCCATTTGGCCCTGAGATGTAAGTAGTCCCTCATCATTAATTCTGGTCCTCCACATCCCTTCACCCTGTCCGGCACTGGGTTCCTGCTCCTGGGCAGGCATCTCCTCCTCCATCTGCTTCTTGCATCCCTGGGCTACCACACCACTCCCTACACACTTCCGAGGAAGTTCTTGTTCACTGTGAGGTTGTTTTTTTTTTTTGTTTGTTTTTTTGTTTTGTTTTGTTTTGTTTTGGTTTTGGTTTTTCGAGACAGTGTTTCTCTGTGTAGCTTTGCGCTTTTTCCTGGAACTCACTTGGTAGTCCAGGCTGGCCTTGAACTCTCACTGTGAGGTTTTAACTCGAACTAACAACAGACAAATCACATCCCAGCAGTGATCCCATGATTAAGATTAGGCTACCTATTTCCAGTTGAATCAACTGGGGTTTCAAAGGAATTTATCAACACCAACACCAACTAGCTGCCCAGCACCCCCCGCCCCACAACACACATTTTCAAAGTTAAAACCTAGAAAGTTACATTATAAACATAAATTTTTGTGACTTTCATTTAATACTATCTTTTTATCACACTAACTTCGATGGTAGTCATGTTTGAAGAGGGTAAATCATTGCCCAAGCAGACCATGATCCTGAGGCTGACATTCTCCCATGCATTTTTTTTTTTGTTTTGGTTTTTCGAGACAGGGTTTCTCTGTGTAGCTTTGCACCTTTCCTGGAACTTACTTGGTAGCCCAGGCTGGCCTCGAACTCACAGAGATCCGCTTGCCTCTGCCTCCCTCGTGCTGGGATTAAAGGTGTGCACCACCACTGCCCGACTTCTCCCATGCATTTTTAAGCATTTAGTCTATTACAGCACAGCCTGTAACAACATATAAAAGACTTTACGTTTTTAATTTATGTAGTTTAATGTTGTCAGTTATAAACAGATTCCATCTTATAACTTCAGTTTTAAATAGAAAAAAAAACATTCAATGTTCAATGAGAGGAAACAGAAGATAAAGCCAAAGATAACAATTTTTTTTAAATAAAATTAATTTACCTGGGGGGGCAGGGATAACAACAAAAAACATGGCCAGGTGGAAAAGAGTCTATGTTGCTTCGGAATCAGAGAGAGAAGCTCAATACTAATCAAATAATAGAAAAACTGTTTTTATTATCTCTGAAGGGAAGAAAAGTCTAAGGTCCCCAACACAAGTCAAAGAAACAATTTTGAGAAATTAATATTGCTTTCTGGAAACTGGTTATTTTTTATTACTAGTTTGTAAAGATCTGGTTTTGATATATTTTAACTTATATTAATACTTCTAATAAAGTAAATAATGGATAATATTCCCAGTGACTTTTCATTCAAGCAATGTTTATGGTCTGTGAGGCCGAACCATTCAGTTTCAGCTTCTTTTTTGTGTTCTGCCTCTTGTCCCACACAGGCACCCTACAAAGCTTTCAGACAACCACAATATATACACACATTTTACCATCTTTCCTCACTAAACTATTTTCTTCCCTTTCTTTTGCCATTTAATGATTTTTTTTGTCCTAATTGTTTAATTTGATCACCACTTTTAAAAATGTCTATATTGAGGTTAGGAATGAAATGTCTATTTTTTATGGAGCTTCAAGTGTGCTTCCTACATCAGAAATGCTTTCCAATATTAAGAATACATAAAGCAAAAAGAAGAACAGTGATATGAGATATAAGTTTATCATGAAAGAAGGGGCCTGCCATGCAGTTTTTGAACAGCTTCTTCAGGAAGGGATACAAAGACTGACAGAAAGACATCTATGTCTGTGAATTCTAAGCCACATATATTTGATAATTCTTGGTTTAAGTAAACAATTCTTTTAAGGTAATCATCTTTTTAAAATAGGAAAAGGTAAAGTCATGGAATGAAGTACTCTTTCACATAACAACATCTCTGGATGTGTGAGGTGAGCTAGTCGTTGTTTTCTAAAAGATATAGATAAATCAATGGAGAAAAAAAATCCCAGAACTAGCTGATAGGACTTGCCTCTGTGGACTATTTCTCTTCCATCAAAGGCAAGAGTTGGCCACATTGACTGTGGGGCTCAAGCGTCCTTGAAGAAAAGTGTCCTGAAGGATATGAGGCATCATTAACATCCAGATGGGAAAGTCTACCTCTAGACTTCAGTAACCCTGATTCTGGTTGAGATGAGCCTGAGTGACCCCAACCAAGGTTCTGATTTTGACTTTGGCATTCTCAAAATTTGCTCTTGAAATTCTTGGTTCTCATTGTTAGCCAGGGTAGGAGAAAGAATAGAAAGAACTGTGTGTGCCGTTATCTGCTTGTGGGAGCTCTGAGCTTTTGGGATCCTTGGGCTGGCCCTAAACAACTCCCACCAGGGAAAATGATCATCGCCATCTGTCCCCAAGGGCTACGCTCTATTCCAGGCATCATAACTTTGAGTTATAGAATAGGTTTTCACTACATTTAATTTTATCTTAAAGTCCAAGAAGAAATTCAGGATATGTGGCTAGTAAGCCTACTTAAGCTCTTCTTTTGAGTACTGTGATTGTCCAGTGATCCCATGATCCCATGAAAGAAGCCAGGAATGATTCAGTTGTTTCTAAGAATGAATTTTCCTAAGTAAAGTCTCACTCATGGTCAAATCTTATCCTTCAAAATGTATCCATCAAATTGGTACAGACATTTTCAAGGAGACTGGGGGAGATCCAAAAAAGAGATTGTGGACCAAGATGTTGTTCATTGGTCCAGTAAGGATGCAGAGAAGTCCACCAGCAAGCCAAGGATTCTTCCTGAACTGCCATAGAGTCACATCATGAGACTGCTTCTTGGCGGACACAGGAAACAGATGCTTCACAATAAAATGTTGGAATGTGATATAGCATGATTTTCATTAGTTCATCCATTCAACCTGTCCTTCCATTCAATGTTGTTGAGCACTCATCCTCGGCTAGGCACAGGTGTTAGGAGATTCTAGTCTACAGACACAAAGGCAGTGACTTTTACAAGCCAGCTTATAGTTTTCCAACATAATTGAAG